TTTTAATATTTTATTTTAATTTCAACACTTGATGTGATTCACTGCCTGGGTATATCGCAGAAATTGAGCTGGGCTAGACTGAAGCTCCATGGGTAATGGTTATAGGTCCTGTCCCAATATATTTTCAGGTGAGGGAACTGTATACCTTCATTAATCTGAGACATCAATTGATGTTCACCGCTTGTAATATTTATGAATTAATTTAAATATTTTATTTTAATTTCAACACTAAATATGATTTTACTGCCCGGGAAATGGTATATCGCATAAATTGAGCTGCTACCAAACTCTGCGCAAAACATCAAACAAATCTATTAAGAGTACATAGTATTAAATCAAGATAAATTCAATTAAGTAACAATGATAACGCCGATTCATTGTGTTTCATGTTCCTCAGTCATTGACCTAATCGGTAATCATAATATTATAAAATACATTCACGTATACAGAAAATGGACGAACCACCACTTCGGGCATGTTTATATTTTTCACTCCAAAAAACTAAAGAAACACTTTTGTACAAATTATAGTGGTAACAAATACGTGGTTTATTGCTTTAATTACATACGATAATACAAACACAATAAGCGTAAGTCGATTATAAACCCTTCCTTTGTTTTTTCAGGTAATTACACAGCCAGTGTAATCTTCAGTTTTAATTGAGCACACCATATACTGAATTAAAGGTTTAGGTTGAAATTGCAGTGTTCCGTAGCGGCAGTGATTAGTACTGTGGGTGTTGACAAATCAAGAAAAGGGACAATATCTTCTCGACGTTTACGAAGATTAAGGTTAAATTATAAAATAATGTTGATTCGAGGCTTTACAAACTGCATGGAAGAAAAGCTATTTTTCAAAATAAACGATAACGTGATTGCTACTTTCGTAGAGCCCAGATTCATTAATCGCTGTAATTGTCAGATAATATTTGTATGAGGGGTCGATGTCTGATACTCGTATTCTAGTTTCCATGGTTTCCTGCCATTTGACCACATCACTGCCACCGTATACAGTACCTACGGTGAGCTCATATACCATGGAAGAATTGCTGGCATATAAACCTGTCCAATCAATCTCTACTTCTGATGTAGACAACCAATTGACGCTGACATCGTTTTCTGAAATAAACGTTGATATAATGCTTTTGATATAGTTGGTTCGTTGTAAGAACGACACATTTCGATTATGATGGATTTTCAACCTATGTACACTATAAACATTGTTTTTTTCTAATATGAATCATATGGCTAAATATAAGTTAAGTTTATAACAACTCATATGACTTGAGCTTGTCCTGTTTCAACTCTCATTATGTCTATAAATGTGTTTACATATTCAGTTGCTTGTGACTCACTATTAATAATTGGCTTCTGTGTTTCTATGGTAACATTAACTGTAACTTCATCACTGTGGTAGCCAACATGATTGACAGCTCGCAACAGTATCTCGTATGTTGCGTAAGAATGCATGTGTAGTCCGTATAACGTTGCGAACGCTTCACCATTTCTACCGATGTCCGTCCATTTAAGAGACTGTTTTTTACCATCAACTATTTTGCACTGAAATAAACATTATACTGGGACTCATTTTCATAGATGCGTTAAGACAAATCTTTATGTGATTCCTGTTGACACAACAATGTTTGCTTTATTTTTCACAGATCTTTCTTTTGGCGGAATGTCGAAGGCAAATCTAAATAATGTAGATCGTTTAGAAAATCAGATAAGTCGATAAGCATTTTTAGAGACAGTAAACGTTGGCACACATTATGTTCAAACATTGCCCGCTATGCAAATACATATATATGTACATGTAGCGAGTGTAATTATTTACTAGGAGAAGTTCCTAGTTTAATGTGGTCATACCTACCTGGTAATGCGATATACCGGTGACATCTTCAAATCCGTGCCAGGCTATATCAATCATATTGGACAATGACTGGTGGTGGCGTCTTCTTGCATACTGCGTTTCAGACATTGTAGTTACATCTATGAATGCCTCTCGAGAATCTGGACATTCATGGACTTGAGTAACACCATCTGTTGTAATTGTAGATGACGCACCTATGTAGTTATGGCAACGAATCGTGGAATAAATCGTCTCTCCATGTGCCACCTTACCAGTCAAGTCTATCTGTGTTCGGTTTAGCTTATCCGTTGGGTGAAAGTCACTCACATCAACTGTCCCTGGACTGAAACCTAATACAAAAATAACTTATCATGAACAAATTTCTTTTAAATTAGCAGATAGCAACGTCAATGTTACATGTTTCATAACATAAATCCGAACAGAATTATATTGATTTCAGCCTTACATACCAACGGCTACTTCACATGATTCAACACCGCTCTCTGGGTCATCTACGCGCCAATGTACAACCAACTGGTCGCCATTAATATAATCTATATCATCACCCTGATTCCCATCCTAGAATAGCAATTCCTTGTATTGTCATTACTTGAAGCGTTTGCAATAAGTTTACAATGAAGCTATTGTTTTTTTATTGTACTACATTGATCTCATTCTACTGCTGTGTTGTCTAATAATAGAACTATCAAAAAGAGTTAGATATCTCACCTTAGCACAGCATAAGTCTGGAGGAGTCAAGTCTATGGTGATAGGATCTGAATGTATTACACTTTCCAACCCAACCATATTGGTCACCACTATTGTCACATATAATTTAGTTTCATGTGACAATACCAGATCTCGGCAGATTGCTGAGAATTTACGCCCAATTGACGTGAAACCTTGGAGTTGGGTACTACCTGCAATATAGAGTATTAATAATATAAAAAGAGGGTAAACGTGATAACTTATTATGTTTGTGTAATGACATTTTCAATCACAAATTTTCGATATTATAAATTCCTACCGTATGTAGTTCCAATTGCCCACATGTTGTCAACTATGGGACTTTCAGCGTCGATAACATCCCAGGCTGCTTGTACGGTGTGATAATTACCAACACGTTGAATTGTAATGTGTATAGGACTAGCCAATTCATTTACATGATGGTTTGGGTCTTCTGATTGCGTTCGCTTCCCGTCACTCAGTTGACGTAGATCAATGTAATCGAGAGAGATACCTATTATATGAACAAGTATTAGAGACGTTTTGACTGATTCTTAGTGAACATTAAAAATGGTACCTTAATTTAATAAATGCAACCTTTGTAAATTTTGTAATTAGTACTGACTCACCACCTTGAGCGAGCGAACCAATAATAAGGGTAGTCATATTCTCTTCTGCGTGGAAGTACTCTACGTATTCGTGCCACTGAATATCGCCATCAGGAAAATTAACACGAGAATCTAACCTTCCTTTCCGCTGGTACAATTTAAACACTTTGTATAAACGGGAAATTTGAACGAATCCTTCTTGTGACAAAGCAGGTACAATAGAATGTGGTGAATAGCTAGCATATAATCTTAGTCGATACTTCTCGCCAATAGTTGTCACAATGTTCTGTGATATTTCACCGACTACTACTGCAAATGAGTTGCCGTGCTGTGCTAATGTGTTGTTACATGAGTGAACATAACCCTTTCCAGTGAGTACCCAGTATGCTGGTACGCCCGATGAAACACAATCTCCCAACACTTCAATGCTGTCATTCTCATTTCGTAGGAGGTACTCGAATGATGGGTTGTTCAAGAGATTGTCACTGAAGTTAAACTTCTCTAAAACTTCTGGTGGTGTTGCATCTATGATCACACCGTCAGATATGGCGGGTTCTGATATCAAACCAGCAGCATTAACCGCCATGACTTTGGAATATACTTTTGTGCCTATAATTGTAAACAACGACGTCATATACACACCTATGCAGTATACATGCGAGTCATAATAGCAATAGACTACTATACAGATTTACACACTTCTTTTCTAAATAGCATGGCACTCATGACTGTCGCGTGTAAGTCCCAACGATCGCATTATTCATTTGTCAAAATAAAGAGTTATTGAATTAATTGTGTACAAATTTGTCAGTGGAGGGAAAGTGTCTCACCCGTTGATATTGCCGTTGCCACAGTTCTCGAAAACGACGTCTTCAAGCCAACGGATTGGCATGAAAGAATATCTTCCAAGCCTGGTGAGCTTCCTACACACCAGAGATAATAGTCAACATAAGATTGTAGATCAGAAAATCCATGCCAGTTTGCTGATACAGTAGTGGTAGAATTCTGATAATCTGCATCGTATAGTCCAAGTCCATCATAAACAATGCCTTTAGTTGGCGGACTGTAGTCAACCTATCCGACAATAACATCTATATTTATTGTTTAAATTCTTGCGATGTCATGTTGTACACATATCAGTATTACGTTATTAAATTACCTTAATACCATCGGAACTGGCGATTGATCTCAAATTCACGTGGTTAGATGCGATGACGTTAGAATAGTAGATAACTCCTGGTTGTAGATTGAGATCAGTAAATACTACAGTGTCTATGTCTGGAGAATGTCGAGAAGCATTGAATGGCCGTACATCTTCTCCTGAAGTATATCAATTAAGTGGAGTTTATTTAGTGGAAAGTATTCATAAACGCATATCCGATTATTACTGTTATCTTAAGAACTACATTTCATATCTTGTTATAATTACGACTATTTATCTATTGCGATCAAACGTATGATTGCTATATGTGTGAATATATCTTATTTTGATCGTCATCAATCGCCATAATAATGACATGTTGGAATCTATGTGATGTACAAAAGATATACAGGACTTCTGGACTGAAAATCATATCAACTCACCTCCTTTACACGTACTAACAGAAACTTCGAAAAATGCAAGTTTATCTATATCATCGATAAATACGTCTTTCCAATGAACTGTCAGTGTATTCGTAGACGTAGTGTAATCCTTATCTCTTGTGTTATTAGGACTATGTAAATCTTTGACCTAATGAGGAAACATTTTTGGTTTTTAATGTTATTGTTTGAACATTGTAATGAGTTTTTAGGTTTACTCTATCACCTGTCATTATAATTTTAATGAATATGTTATGTAAGTAAAAATAAAACCTACCTTTCTTGAATCTGAAATATATGGTGGTGTATACTGTACTGTGACTCCATTTGTCTGAAATATGGCGTACGTATTCTCATCATACCATGCCTTCACATAGAAAACATACTGTGTATCTTCAAGCAGTGAGGCTGTGAATAAATAAATAAATAAATAAATAAATAAATAAATAAATAAATAAATAAATAAATAAATAAATAAATAAATAAATAAATAAATAAATAAATAAATATTGCGCACTGCGCACAACACACCGCGCTACATTACGGTACACCAAACTGCAGTACATGTTTAAGATATTATAAAATCAATGCCTTACATAAAATATAATTTGGATAACTCACTTTCTTGTAGAAGTATTGCGTATGTCTCTAAGCCAACATCGTACCAAATACGATCATGTGCAGGGTTGAATATACCGGTTCCAGGTTCATCACCTTTCGTTCCAGCACTCCATTCGTAACGCTCAATAGCTATGCCTTAAAACATTAATACAAAAATCAAAGTAAATATATGAATGAGATATCGATATACACAATATTAAGTCAATGTTAATATATGAATGAAATATCGATATACACGATATAACGACCACGATAATATATGAATGAGATATCAATATACACGATGTAAAGTTAACTACAATATATGAATGAGATATCGATATATACGATATAAAGTGAACTATAATATATGAATGAGATATCGATATACACGATATAACGACAATATTAATATATAAATGAGATATCGATATACACGATATAAAGACAACGTTAATATATGAATGAGATATCGATATACAACATATAAAGTCAATGTTAATATATGAATGAGATATCGATATACACGATATGAAGATAACTTTAATATATATGAATGAGATATCGATATACAACATATATAAAGTCAACGTTAATATATGAATGAGATATCAATATACACGATATAACGACAATATTAATATATAAATGAGATATCGATATACGCGATATAAAGACAACGTTAATATATTAATGATATATCAATATACACGATATAAAGACAACGTTAATATATGAATGAGATATCAATATACACAATATAACGACAATATTAATATATAAATGAGATATCGATATACACGATATAAAGACAACGTTAATATATGAATGAGATATCAATATACACGATATAAAGACAACGTTAATATATGAATGAGATATCAATATACACGATATAAAGACAACGTTAATATATGAATGAGATATCGATATACACGATATAAAGACAACGTTAATATATTAATGAGATATCGATATACACGATATAACGACAATATTAATATATTAATGAGATATCGATATACAACATATAAAGTCAATGTTAATATATGAATGAGATATCGATATACAACATATAAAGACAAAGTTAATATATGAATGAGATATCGATATACAACACATAAAGTCAATGTTAATATATGAATGAGATATCGGTATACAACATATAAAGTCAATGTTAATATATGAATGAGATATCGATATACACGATATGAAGATAACTTTAATATATATGAATGAGATATCGATATACAACATATATAAAGTCAACG